TGTACGACAGATGTTCTTCAAGCAATAACATCTCTTTTAGTGTAGAGTTAGTATTAACGGTGAGCAAACTTAGGTGTAACGTTCTGTTTGGTTCGATCTTCAATGGTCTCTAATTTACCGTGTCAAACAGGGACTCTTTCATTCAAGTGTCAGTAACAGTAGTATATGCTTTAATGATAATACTGTCTCCTCTTATTTGGAAATAAGATATATGTAGTAGCTCTTCTCTCTCTCTCTCTCTCTCTCTCTCTCTCTCTCTCTCTTTCTCTCTCTCTCTAATTTTTATATTATTATTATTATTAGGGTGGAGGGAGGTTTCTATAAACCCAGTGGGTTTGATGATGTCAGCTTTTGTGGTTCTACCTGTAAATCTCTCTGACTATCCTGGAATATTTTTCCTTCCCTTAGGTCTCTTGATGGCCGTCTGCAAGTATCTCACCGCAAAGGATTACCACATGTTATTTATTGCCGTTTGTGGCGCTGGCCTGATCTTCACAGTCATCATGAACTTAAGGCAATTGAAAACTGTGAATATGCATTTAATCTTAAAAAGGATGAAGTATGTGTAAATCCCTACCATTACCAGAGAGTGGAGACTCCAGGTAGGAAGATGACAGACTGCTGATGGCATAAAGGCATTGCCTGTACATGCTGGGCTTTTTCTTATTTTGCTACAGAGCTGAAGAAAAAGGAGTCCAGGTTTATTCTTTTGGTTTCCAAGAACTTGAGTGGGAATTAATCCAAATTTTAATTTTGAAATTGATGTTGAAATACATTATTTGTTCTACTGTTTGGCACTTCCCACTCTAGTTTGGAAACAAAAAGGATTGCATATATCCAAATTGGAGCACTTACTTGTTTTTGGATTCACTGTAGAGACTTAGACCTGTTACAGTACTTTCAGATAAATTAAGCAAATATATAGCCAGATACTGTTTGAAACACAATATGCATGCTTGAAGCTTCTCTCCTTTTGTCTCACTGCTGCAACAACCTATATGCTGTCCCTGGTGTTCTGACAAAGGGGTTCTCTCTATCACGCTTTATTGAACTCTCCACTAGAGCTACTAATGGGAGAGTGGGAGTAGAGGGGATGAGGAAAGACACATGTTGCTTCCCATCCCCTGTAGCATCTAGTTGTCATAGTTTGTGCACCCAAGCCCCTCTCCCCAAAAAGGTATTTGTGCAAGATGTTTTTATCTTGTCATCAGTACAAAGGTAGTGTACAGGTTGTACATATTTCATTCTTGCCAATCCAATTGTATCCTCATAACTACCTTGGAAGATGGTTATACTAGGAGATGAGCTGCTCCATAGCTGAGTGGGACTTTAACTTGAGTCTCCCTTGTTCTAGTTTATCAATTTAAGTGCATTTAAACTGTGGACTAGGATCAAAGAAAACTGGGTTCCGATCTCTGTCCTAGAGATTACTTGGTTTGGGCCATAGACTTCTAGTCTGAAACCTACCTCTCATCGAAGTTGTGTTGAAAATTAAGGAATTTTGTGTGTGCTAACTAGTCTGAACTCCCTGGAAGAAGGGGGAAAGCAAACATGATGGTCTCACTTGGGGAAAAAAATCAGAGAACATTTAAGGAAAAGCAAATAAGAGTAATAAATGTAAGCCTAAATCTTGCTTATACATCTTGGTGAATTTCCAATGGAGATTTCATGTAGTATATTTTCATAACCATGCTGATTTGGAATACTTCCCATATCCCAAATCCATCTTTCATCTTCAAGATGATGACGAAGAAGATTTGTTAGTACATTTATAGCTGATTGAAATAAGGGGTCTCCTCTTAGATGTCTTCAAAAAGGGGCTGGAGAGATACTTGCTGGAAATGCTTTAGCTAGAAATCCTGCACCAAAGTGTTGGATTTGATGGCCCATGATGAGGTCCCTTCCAACGCTGTGATTCTATGAGGGTACATTCCTCTGTGTGACTGCCTGAAAATAAGCCCCCTGACCAAAGTGCATGTGTGGGATTGCACTTAGTCTCGTGAATAAGAGCCCTGCAATTTGGATATAAGGTCCATGTTCCTAATTTTTTGGAACTATAAGTTATTACAGTACCCCTAATGTTTTGGGATGTTTTCCCCTCAGTTCTGCCTCCTGTTCTGGTGCCCCGACATACTGAGATTCTGACTGAACTTCCACCACTTGATGATTATACTCATTCCATTCCTGAAAACACCAACTTTCCAGCAGGAATTGAGCCACAGAGCAATTACATACCAGGTATTCATAAAAAGAAAATTACTTTAAAAATGACATTGTACTGTTTGAAGGATTGAGGGAAATCAAGTCCAACTTGCCAGAGAAAAGTAAACAGCATTGGAAGTAGATATGGCTTCCCAACAATTTGGTTTCTTCACAGCACTTCCTAGAAATGGAAGTACTTGGGAGTATTCAGCCATCAGCAGAATCTTTGTCATTGGTACCAGCCCACTCAGTCTCACGTAATTTTGACCCATTTGTGGAGTATTGTAAATTGACTTAATTCTTTCCTGTTGATCATCTTTTGATCATCCTGCCTTTTAAACATGTGCAGATTGGGCCCTTCTTAGTTATAAGATCTGAGAGCCAAGTCAGAAGTCCCTGGCATTCCGGATTATGGCACTAGTATGCTAGAATTCCTTGACTCTGGACAGTCATTTCAGCTCTTTCCTGGAAGATTTGTGAAACAAAGTTATGTGGAATCTTCTTTGTCCAGACTTTTAATTAGCATATTTTTTTCATGTGCCTCTAATTCTGTTTAACTGCAGTTAGATTTCCCTAGTCTGATTTGATTTTATGAAACTTAGTGTTATGGTACATTGTTTTTCTTTGTTTACTTAGGGATTTCATGCGTAGACCACATACAGTTTTCTGAAAGATAATTGAGATAGAAAACAAGAAAATAAAGCTTTACATCCTAAATATGATTGGGTTGGGTCCACTAGGATCCCTCTTCCTTGGTTAACTGCTTTTTAGATACTACATACTTAAAAGGCAAAGGTAAAGGTAGTCCCTTGACATGAATGTCTAGTCATAACCAACTATAGGGGGCAGTGCTCATCTTCATTACTAAGCTGAAGAGCCAGAGTTGTCTAAGGACTGCTCTGGTGGTCATGTGACCAGCATGACTGCACCAAACACTGTTACCTTCCCACTGAAGTGGTACCTATTTACTTGCATTTGCATGCTTTCAAACTGCTAGGTTGGCAGAAGCTGGGACTAGTAACAGGAGCTCACCCCATTATGCAGCACTCGGGCCTCGAACTACCAACCTTCTGATCTTTCAGTTATCAGAATTGGTGTATTAACCACTAAACCACTGCATCCTTACATTGCATATTTAGTGACCTACAAAACAAACCCAGGAGTTCTCTGTCTGTGTATACAATTAAAAGCATGGTGGTAGGGAATGATTTAGTATGAATCCCAGTTGCTAGTCTCAGTTGCCTCCATTGGTTAAGCCAGTTGGTTTCTGTGATGGAATAGAAGTAGCATCTTAGAAAGCATTTAGTAGCCTACGACTTCACATTTAGTTCCCATTTGTATGGAGCCCTGCTTTGCTAAAGGGTTTTATTAAGTTTTTTTTTTAACTAGGAAGCTATATATATTCAAAATGCAGAAGATAAATAGTACTTGACTATTGTGAAGTTTTGGTGAAGTGGCTGTGTATTCCCTTCACCCTGTAAGCCTACATTAAATAAAATTTCCATTCGCTTGCATAATACATAATTTTTAAAATTAAAGTCCCTAGTTTTAATGCCTTGTCAATAATGCTTCATTTTGGTAGAAACACCTCCACCCGGCTACATCAGTGAAGATGGGGAAACGAGTGACCAGCAGTTGAACCAAAGTATGGATACAGGTAATAGCCTGATCCTATGCTCTCTTCAATGCCAGGACATCTACAGTTTGGCATATCTAATTATTACCACCTGAATCCTTTTTACCAACAAGAGGTTTAAGTTAATTAATTTGAGCATGTTGTTGCAACTTTCTGTATATCATAATGGAGAAAAGAAAAAGAGACAGAAGGTGAAGAAAAAAAGGAAAGGGAAATACAGAGGATATAAACAAGGACTAGGCATGTACAGTGATGTGAATTGATGATATTTTCAAGATTATATGTTCTTTTATGTTGATGTCTTTAAGTACATGCATGTGCGTAGCTAAAACAGTAAGTTTCTTTCCAAAAAGGCTTAATAGTATCCATTGCACCTTTTGGTGTACCAGTTGCCCTGTTGTCAGATCTAAAAAAGTTTTGGATACTGAAGCTAGGGCAGGTTTTCAATGGTTAATTTGCATAGGACAACAAAGTCTTTGTTCCACTCAACTCTTAACATCAAAATTTAGTGCCTTCTAACAAGCATTTATAAACTAAACTTGTTGGTTTCAGATTCTCTATAGATATGATCAGTGTTTCCAGCACAGCAAGAAGGTCTGAGGCGCTGAGAATTAATGGTCCATATATAAACACCAAAAAGTGTTAGAGTTGTAAATACTGTCAACAGTACAGAGTGCACCCACAGATAAGTAGACTGTAGTATTCAAACTTGCACACATTTTTGGTCTCAACTAATCATTTGATAGAAAGAGTAAATCCCACAATCAGTCTATTTCTTTCATTAAAACTGTTGTCTTGCAATCTTCAAATTATGATCATCCCTTAGTTAGCTTAGTGCGACCACATGGAACAGATTGTGACTGGCATGATACCATATGCCAAATCATCTTGGTTGCAGAGATCACAGGGGCAATATCCCTTCTTCCTGATAGTTCTTTAATAGAAAGGCAGATAGTTCATCCAAAAAAGAGTTTCCAAGTAATTTGATTTCATGATTGTCCAAGGATGAGTATATGAATTAGACTGTGTCTGCCAGTTATTTGTGCAGGGCAGGAGGATATGCCTTGTGATACAAACTTGCTTGGAAAATTAAATCCGTCTCCAGAAGATGACATCTGCATCCTTTTGAATGATAAACAGGGTGGTAAACATTCCAGTGGGGGCCATTGTTGTGTAGTGGTTTGAATATTGGACTACAGGTCCGAAGACCAGGGTTCAAATTCTTGCTCAGCCATGGAAAGCTACTGTGTGACCTCAGGCATGTCACACTCAGCCTAAGAGAAAGGCAAAGGTAAACCCCCTCTGAACAAATTGTACCAAGAAAATCCCATGATAGCTTTGCCTTATGGTCACTATAAGTTGGAAATAACTTGATTTGACATAAGAACAACAACAAAGATCCCCATATAATGGTATTGATCTTCTGGAAGCAAATCTGAGGGTTATACATTTATACCTTAGGGCAGTGATGCCCAAACTTTGGTCACACAGATGTTTCATTCAGCTCCCAGAATTCCTGACAGTTGGCCAAGCTGGTTAGGGCTTTTGGAAGGTGAAGTCCAAAACACCTGGAGGACCAAAGTTTGAGAACCTTTGCCTTAGGAAGTGTACAGTATCCATGGTAATACATTCATCTAAAGTATGTGGACCTTATATAAAATAATTTGAGTGATGTCCACCTATACAAATCCAGAAGTATTTCAGCAAGCAGTGTACACAGCTTCAGTTCAGTCATCTGAGTAATATCCTGAGCAACAAATTTGTCCAAATAAACAATAACTGCTGGACACCAACAAAACTGGCAGTTGATGAACAGCCCAGAAGGAGTACTGTACTAATCCCAATAGACATGACCATAGACATAACCTCAGATTTTCATCCATTAATAGAATAGCTTGAAAGAGCCCCCAAGCTTTTATTTTATTAACTCTTGTCAAGATGATTCTGATGTAGAAATTTAAACTGCCAAAAAAAAAAAAAAATGGTAATCAGCATATAAAACTGCCTTTTGTTAATATTTTTCATATATGAACTCAGAAATTGCTAGATTTTTACCTACTGTATATATTTGACTATGAGTCAATCTCATATATAAGTAAAGTACAGGTTTGGGGGCCAATATCATGGATTTTGATGTGATTCATGCATAAGTCAAGGGTAAAACTTAGGGGCATGTAATGAAGGATGTAAAG